GAGAGAGAGAGAGAGAGAGAGAGAGAGAGAGAGAGAGAGAGAGATCCCTGTGGCCACAGGATTAAAATTCAGACGCTTGGCAACTGACTCACATTTATACGGTTGCAATGTCCCGGGGTGATCCCCTTTTGCGAAGTTCTAACAAGCAAAATCAATAGGGAAGCCATATTCCTCTTAACAACCATGTTACTGCAGCAATTCACTTAGCAACTGTGACAAGGAAGGTCATAAAGTGGGGCAAACTCACGATCTGACCTAACAACAGAAACTTTGGGTGCAGCTGTGCTTTGAAGTCGAGGAGCACCTATATTTCTTAATAACTGTATTTAAACATATATGTTATTTATTTTGTAATACAATTAGTGTCTATGTTTTTATGTATTTAGATAGATGATAGATAGATAGATAGATAGATAGATAGATAGATAGATAGATAGATGAGATATAGACTATATATATGGGGGGGAATAGGCAGATAGGCAGACAGAGATATAGACAGATAGTGATAGGTAGGTAGGTAGGTAGGTAGATAAGACAGATAGATAGGCAAATGTGAAGAGAGAAAGAGAGAGAGGCAGACAGGTAGGCAGATAAATAGAGATAAAGAGAGATAGATTAAGATAGATAAGAGAGAGAGATAAAAGAGAGAGATATAAAAGAGAGAGAGAGAGGCAGAGAGGCAGATAAACAGACAGATAAAGAGAGATAGGCAGATAGATTAGATAGATTAGATAGACAGAGTAGAGATAGATAGACAGACAGATAGGCAGGCAGGCAGATATATAGAAAAAATAAAATAAAATCAGATTCTGAGAGGAGTCCATGGTAGAGAGAAGGCTAAAGACCAAAAGTTAGGGCAAACCATAATGGAAAAACCTATTTGCCATCTATATCCTGATGGGATTTTCACACGTAAAAAAAAGGCCTGAGGAACTCACCTGAAAGGATAACTGAAAGAGGCTGTTATTGTTTTATTCACCGCGCCATGACAGGAAATCAGAAGTGTGGTGACACCTTTGTATCCTCCACAAGAAGCAAACGCAAACATCGCAAAGAGCTGTAGGAAAACAAATAACATCCTGATTCTGACATTTAATTCGCAAAGGCCAGAGGAAAACTGAGAAGAATGACCCCCTTTATCAAAATCACGGCTTCCTTTTTTTTAATTCAAAGGCTCAAGAAATGAAATTAAACATCAGGTGGGATTAAGAAAATAGCCTCGAGCAAGAAATCCTCGGATCCAACAAGCACGAATTGGAGTGCATGAACAAGAAATCTGTAACTCTAAAGTTAAAAAAAATCCAGCCCAAGACTATGAGGTAAGATAATACAGGCAGCCCTCAAATTATAACAGTCCATTTAGTAATAAATAAGAGATAATCAGAGTTGGAAGAGACCTTGTAGGTCATCTAGTCCAACCCCATTCAACAGCACTGAAAAAAAGTGATTTATGACCATTTTTCACACTTATGACCATTGGTGACATGATTTACATTTGGATGCCTGGCAACTGACTCATATTTATGATGGTTGCAGCATCCCAGGGTCACACAATCCCCTTTTGCGACCTTCTGACAAGTCCATGGGGAAAGCCAGATTCACTTAACAACCGTGTTACTAATGAACGACTGAAGTGATTCACTTAAGAAACGTGGCAAGAAAAGTCGTAAAAAGGGGCTAAAACTCACTTAACAAATGTCTCATTTAGCAACATAAATTTTGGGCTCCATTGTGGTCCTACGTGGAGGACCACCTGTTAATAGGGACTAGATTTCCACAATTTATTACATAATAATTTCTTTGTGCTGGGCTTTGATATAGCATCTTATATAAACCTAGGCACCATTGATGGGCCATTTGCTAAACTAAAACCAGGTCATGGCACACACTTCAAAGTAAATCAGGAAGTCTGTAATTGTGGAGTCTGTCTGGCAAGAACAAAGAATGCTTATCCACAGGAGATATGCTTGTGTAAATCTTGTAACAATCCTGGCTAATTGGAAAGCTGATAAAAATAACAAGAGTTAGCCAACTTGCAGACCTCAGCTAAAAGTTAGGCCTGAAGCAAATCAAATGTGTATTAGATAATTCCTAGGGCATTCATGAGCCAAAACTTGGGAATAGGGACAGCTAGAGACCAAAGGAACAAATTGTAGAATTATTACTAAAATGTTTATTAGATGATATGTCTTATTATCTCACTTTGTCCCCTTTAGTGAAAGTGTATAAAACTTACTCAATCCTTTGTTCTTGGCTCTTGGCATTTTGGCCAGGAGCCCCTTTTCCTTGGAGTACTCCAATAAAAAGCAGTCAGAAAACCTGCACCACATGTCTGGCGTCTATCATTGGCTTTGGCACCAGGCTCAGACCCGAATTGGAGACAACATGGGTCATGGTTCAGCTGCATGTGCAAAGCCATCCAGTTCTACTTTGCTCAATAAACCATGATTAAACAGTTTTGCAGAATGAGTGAACCTAGTGAGTGTTAATGGATGAAAATGTGATGCAAACTCAGTCCCAATCTCTTAAAAATGCCCCCTTTAGGGTATAAGAAATGACGAACAAGAATAGTGTTGATGTTCACTTTTGAAAGACATCAGATGTCTTTGCTGGATTTTTAATTATTAATCTGGACTTTGCAGATGATTGGATTCAATTTTAATATCAAATGATTTTGCACATTAGCCATTTGCCTAGAATGAGAATTACAATAACATTTGGTCTGTGCTAAATTTATACAACAGACTATGCTAGGCTGTGACTTTGTGAGACTCTGACACAACCTGATGCATCTGCCAAGTTGTGGCCTACTGACCATTATTTATGGTTTATCAGAGGCTGTGACACGCCACAGCCTATCATGATGCAGGATCCCAGCTTATAGGCAATCAAATAAGAGCTCAGCATATACACACCACCTGAATAACCTGGATTTTGTCAGAAATATTTGCCAGACATAAAATAGGAAAAGGCTAGGCAGTGTGTTGCAGCAATTTTAACATAACAATCTGAAAACATGTTCCAAGCTTTAAGCTTTTACAAACACCAAGAAACTCCTACACAAGAGTTTAGATAAGGAGAGGTTCCACACTGGAGGTAGCTACTACTAGGTTGACAGTAAACCTCCTTTTCCCCCTTTGCTCCCTGTTCTTCTGTCGTTTATTATCTTATCACTCTATCCTCAATTGTTTTCTGTTTTATTGTTTATTCTATTGTTCTATTTCCACTGGAGGTTTTTAAAGAAATTGGACAACCATTTGCCTGAAATGGCATAGGGTTTCCTGCCCAAGCAGGGGGCTGGACTAGAAGACCTCCAAGGTCCCTTCCTCCAACTCTGTAATTCTGTGATTTGTTATTTTGCTACTGTTATGTTTACACTTGCCTTCCTTTCTCCGTTGTTGTAAGCTGCCTGAAGTAGCAGCACAACAGCAAGAGAAATTTAACAAACAAAACAAACAAATAAATATAGGGGGAAATTTTTCCTATTTTAACATTTTGAATTTACAGCCATGCCTATTCACGCCAATTACACGCCCTTGGAAGAGAATAAATATTCTAAGGGGATTTTTCAGACAGAAAAGAAAAGAATAATAAACTCAGTTGCACCAGGGCCTAGCCAAAGAAAGCTGTTGTAACAGAAGAAAAACTACTACAGAGAAAGAAGAAGGAAAAAACATGCCCCACAGCCCTTTTGGCATAGAAACCTTTGGTATCCTATTCTACTAAAGCTTTGCAAGAGAGAGAAAAACTCCATTTATTTCTACCACCATTTACTCCACATTAAAACTGAGTTAATCCGGTTTTCTGAATTTACCCAAAGGAGGAGAGTTTGCAAGACCCTAAATTACAGTTGCTTGCTTTTGAGGTTCAAAAAAACCCTCAGCTTTGGGGTGCATATTCACACTCACACACACACCCATTTTGCAAAAGACCTCCTCAAAGGAAGGCAATGCATGAACCTCCTTCACAAAGCAACTCACCCACTCAAGGAGCTTGATGAAACCTAGAGGCTCTTTGACAGGACTGAGGTCCAGGTGAAAATCAGTCATGTTCTGCAAATGGAGGAGGAAGAAGAAGAGGAATCAGGCCAAGGAAGAGCACAGAAGAGATGGTGGGATGAAGAAGATGGAAGCTCAACTCAGCCTTGTCTCCAAGGTCTTCGTTTCCCTGGGAGCAGGAGGTGGACCTCTTTGGTCCTATAGAACCTGCCGCCTTGGGCTCCGCCCACATCCCTCAGCCAATAGGATGCATCCTCCTCCTTCCTCCCCAACTGTTATCTCACAATGGCCTGGAAGATCATCCCTGGGATATACACAGAGTTGGAAGGGACCTTGTGGGTCATCTAGTCCAACCCACCCTCCTGCCCAAGCAGGAGACCCTACACCATTTCTGACAGATGCCAATCCAGTCTCTTCTCGAAAGCTTCCAGGGATAAAGCTCCCTCAACTTCCAAGGGCAACTTCTGCTCCGTTGGTTGATTGTTCTCACTGTCAGAAAGTTTCTCCTTATTTCCAGGTTGAATCTCTCCTTGATCAGTTTCCATCCATTATTCCTTGTCTGGCCTTCAGGTGCTTTGGAAAATAGCTTGGCCCCTTCCTCCTCTCTGTGGCAGCCCCTCAAATACTGGAAGACTGTTCTCCTGTCTCCCCTGGTCTTTCTCTTCACTAGAGTAGCCAGGCCCAGCTCCTGCAACCGTTCATCATATTTTTTATCAAATTCAACTGGAAGGAAATTTTACTCTTTTGTGCTGTCTAAATATACTTTTACACAGTGGCTAATTTTACAAAGGGTAACCTCACCTTGACATTGAAGGGGGGGTATATATGTAACATTTTTTTCAAGGAAGTTAATTGAGTGTTTTAAATCAAATGTTTAAATTGTCAGCAGAGGCTGCTACCGTACATAAAGAAGCACTCCCCACTCTCAAAATAGGAGTTTTAAGTTATATGCCTTTGCATTTAACAAACCACAGAAAAACCCAAAACAGAAAAAAAAGTTGTTTTTTTTTAGTGTGAACAATCTATACATGCATCATCTCCTTTTAATGACCACATAATCCCTTGCAAGATGGAGTCTTGGCAACTGAATGGGGCCAGCAGAATGTTTTAATGGCCGGATGCCTTTCCTGTTGCCAATGCAGAGTTTTGTTCAGCAGGTATATTCTCATTGTGCCCAGAGAGAGAAATATCTGCCTCTAGCCAGGATCGAACTCACAGCCTCCTGATTGCGAGGTGAGAGCTCCACAATCTATGCATGCATGCAATGCATTAAGCCACGTTTTTTTAAAACCCCTTTTTCTGAGAAAGCTACAATCCACTCCTATCACATTTCCAAAAGGCACAGGTATAAAAGTGAAAAGTTTTCTTGGTAGAAGTAGATGTGTGCAGGTATAACATAAAACAGGATTTTGCTGGAGCAGGTGGGAACTCTGAAGTGCTGCTAGAAAAAAATAAAGAGGATAGCTAATTTTTTTTCAAGAGCAGAACTCCTGCCTGTAACTTTAAGATAAATGCAGAAAGTGTGAGGGTTCTAAGTATTTCCAGTATTTTTAAAGAGGAATGGAATACCTTCACACCTGCTTTCATCCTGAGGGCAACCATTAAAGATGAAGAAGAATAGGTGCTGAAAGACTAGCCATCTTCAATCTCAGCTAATTATGTAGGTTTAAGTATGAGCAGTGATGGGATTCAAATTTTTTTACTATGGTTCTGTGGGCGTGGCATGGTAGGTGTGGTGGGCGTGGCATGGTGGGCATGGCAGAGGAAGGATACTGTAAAATCTCCATTCCCTCTCCACTCCTGGGGGAAGGATGCTGCAAAATCCCATTCCTTCCCCACCCACTAACCTGCTTTGCAGCTCCATTCTCCTGTGCAAAGAAGACCCAGCCAATCAGCTGGGACTCAATGGGAGGCAGAGAAGAGATGGGGTTGGCGGGGCCAGTCAGAGGTGGGATTTGCTGGTTCTCCCAACTACTCACAATTTCCGCTACTGGTTCTCCAGAACTGGTCAGAACCTGCTGAAGACCACCTTTGACCCTAACCCTTTTCATTCTCATGTTTTTGTAAGCAGGGTCCCCAGCCATCCATCACCCCCAACCATGGCCTTTCTCCTCTGGGGTACCGTTTCATTCATTCAACTCAACAATCTCCTCAGCTTTTGAATCAGTGCGAAACGGGGTTATTAATAGTTCTTGTAAACCCAGTAAAAACACATCAATCAAATCTGAGCGCTCCAGCTATTGGGGAAAGGAGTTACATTTAACACCGAAGCAAATTTTTGCTGCCAAAGACCTTCCTTTGGTCTTGTGTTCCACTTGGAGAAGACAAGGAATCCTGACATGTGGTATGTTCTCTCAAGTCTTTATTTACCGAGACATATTGACCTTTGAGTATTTTTGCCTCAGCCTTCTCCTCAGGAAACTGGATGGGATGGGAAGATTATCTTTCGCAAAGTTGTCTTTCGATCTGAACCCGCTGATTTTAAGTCCCAGAGTCTCCCGCGCAATATTAGATAATACGCAGTATTCTCTGAAAACATATCTTTCCTTGTGTTTGCCCTCAGTCTGTTTTTTCCCCCCCAAAGCAGCAGCTGTGGGTATTAACAAGATGTAGTAAAGATGACTGACCCATGGTTCGGTTCTTATAACCAGCAGCTGGATGAAAAGCTATTTCTCTACAACTGTATATAATCGGTTAAGTAACGTCAAATCAGAATAACAGAATAACAAGAGGGACCTTGGAAATCATCTAGTAGTCCAACCCTCTGCTCGAGCAGGAGACCCAGGGGTGAGATGCTGCCCGGTTCTATAGAGCCGGTAGCTCTGAAGAGCAGCAGACACCAAACCGATTCTGTGTTTGCTGCTGTTTGGCCCACCCGCCTGTCCTTTATTTCCTACTTTTTCAACCTCAGCTGCTTTGCGCAGCACAGCTGAGGTTGAAAAAGCAGGAAAGAAGAGGATTTTCAAATGCTGCGCACCTGCGCGCAGCACTTTTCAGCTGTCTGGATGGCACAGCCTAAGTTTGTTTTACACGTGTGCACAGCACAACGTAATTGCCGAACCGGTAGTAATACCGGTTGAATCCCAACCCTGAGGAGACCCGATGCCAGTGGTGGCTAACCTTTTTGGGCTCCTGTGCCAAAAATTGTGCGCTTGCGCGCTCACATTCCAGCACCCAGAAGGTAATGTGCATGTCCCCCCTACATGCCCCCTGCATGCACACACAATCCCCTCCATCTCCTTACCTACACTGCGCCTCACAGCTGATTTTTCTGCTGGTTTGAGGCCTTTTTCAGCCTCCCAGAGGCTTGAAAAAAGTCTCTGCAGGCTTTGCAGGACGAATAATAGGCCTGTTTCATCACTTCCGGTATTATTCGGCCTGCAAAACCTGCAGAAGCTTTTTTCAAGCCTGTGGGAGGCTGAAAAAGGCCTCAAACCAGCCGAAAAATCAACTGGGAGGCACGCGCAGGCGCAGTGAGGTAAGTTTGCCTGTGGCTTGCATGCCAGCACAAATGGCTCTGCGTGCCACCTGTGGTACACGTGTCATAGGTTCGCAATCAAGGGCCTATACCAGTGATGGATAACCTTTTTTGGCGCTGAGATTTACAGCCGATATTCACACTTAAAACCATTGCAGCATTCCCCAGGATCACGCCATCAAACTACAGATGCTTGCCAATTGATAATATATAGTCTGTCCTCTACTTACAAGTGGCTCGTTTAGTGACCGTTCGAAGTTACAACAGCACTGACAAAAGTTGAGCTATGATCGTATTTCACACTTACGATCCTTGCAGCATCCCCACAGTCACATCATCAAAATTCAGACACTTGACAACTGACTCATATTTATGATGGTCGCAGTGTCCCAAGGGGGCACGTGAATCCCTTTTGCAACCTTCTTCCAACGAGCAAAGTCAATGGGGGAAGCTAGATGCACTTAACGACCATGTCAATTGAAGAACTGAAAGGATTCACTTAACAACAGCAGCAGGAAGGGTTGCAAAATGGGGCAAAGCTCACTTAACAAATGGATCTTATTTAGCGACAAAAATGTTGGGCCATATTGTTGGAAATCGAGGAATACTGTTGTGGCCCACCAGCGGCCAGCAGTTAGCAGCAGGTTTGGACAGTGAGGCTGGGGAGGAACATGGGTCTGTCCTGGTGTCTGGGGAAGGCTCAGACGAATGCTCTGCCTCAGAGGGGCCAGGGCCGTCTGACAGTTATCAGCTGCCTTTGGAGTCAGAGATCAGTGGGGCAGAAGAGCAGCTGGAGCCTGTTTCCGGTGTGTGCGTCCGCAGAGCTGCCAGGAGAAGGGAACAGAGTTAGGAATGATAGTCACCTAACAGTTGGGTTGGCAATATATAAACCAGGATAATCATTTAATACTGTTGTTTCTTTAAGAGAATGTTGTAATTCTGATTGGCTGAGGTTCCTCCAACGGCCATAAGATGGAGCCAGAAACCTGGTTTGTTCTTATTGCACTTCCTTTGCTTCCCTTTTTGCCTTTTGCCTGATCGTCATTCTGCTTGAATTGCTGTGAGTCTTGCAACTGTTTGCAAACTCAGTTTACTTAAAGGACTTCATTTTTGGATTATCCCTGGACTGATTGTTTTGAATACTAGCTGCTTTAACCGTGTATGAATTGGACTGTTTGTTGGACTTTGTTTACCCGTTTACTGGAAGTAAAACTTACATTTTACTATTTAGTGTATCTGTGTGCTGGTTGTGTATTATTCATCACCACTCTCACTATGTTTCCCTGAGTGCACTCATTCTCCTAACGGGGAATACCTCAACAAACAGCTAAGGAACCAGGGTCGACTCGGGAGTAAAGGCAGAGGTGGACGGTGAATGGCCCCTCCCATAGGAAATAAAAGAGGAACGAAAGGGGAGTGGTGTTTGCAGGAGACAATTAATTCATTTAATTAGTGTGAAGATTTGTTCCTGCATTCTTGCTAATTATTGTCTGCTATAGTGTGGAGTTTGGAAGATATCGGCCTGGCAACTCTCCAAGCCTGATAAAGGTCTGTAATTATGGAATATCATGAAAGACTGTTGGCTGGGACTTTGCTGGAGAGGAATTAACTGTAAACTAAATAAAAAGGGGTTTATCAGGACGAGGAGCCAGCTTCGTGCTGTTGGGGAAGCCTAGGTCAGAACAAATACCTGTATTGTATGGTGACCTTGTGATGAAAACCAAAGTGCTCTGTATTTCCAGAGGCTGCTCAATTTCACGTTATGTTTGATACTCGGAGCTTAATATTAAAATTAAGAGAAATTCCTGGAGATTCTACCCCTCAACAGATAGAAAGCTCATTTAAACAGAGGGAGAGAGAGGTAAGGACAATACACTGATTTCCTCCAAAATATTTATTTTTATTCTGGGCCTTCACACCCCTACAACTAAGTATATTTTATTTAATTTAAACAGATACACATACACAGACACAATTATATAAATTCCAAAGATACGTGAAGAAAATTCATTGTGTTTCCAAAGCTGAACACAGAAATGTTAAGTTTTGAGAGTACGGGGGGTCCTTGACTTAAAACCATTTGTTTTGTGAGCAAAGTTACAAGGATACAGAAAAAAAAAAGTAATTTATGACCGCGGACTCTTATTAACCATTGTGACATCCCCGTGGTTAAAATTTGGATGCTTGGCAACTGTCCTGTATTTGTGACGGTTGTGGGGTACTGTGATCGGCATTCAGACAGCAAAGTCAATGGGGAATCCAAGTTGACATAACTAACATGTTACTAACTGAAATGCAGTGGTTCGCTTAACAACTGTGCCCAGAAGGGTCAGAAAATGGGGCAAAACTCACTTAAGAACCATCTTATTGACAAAAATTTGGGAACTCCGATATGGTCGTAAGTCGAGGACTTCTTGTACATAGTAAAGATGGAGGATGATAGGGGGATGCAAATATGTGCAGGTCGATGAAGGTGTTTATCGGACAGGGTGGAAATGTTTTTGTTTTTTTTACCAGGTTGTGGTGGAATTGTATGATCCGTATCGATTGTAATAACTGCGAGTTATGCTCCAGAAAATGGTAAACAAAAGAAGAGCCGTTGATGAGCTTTAGACAAAACTATGCAATATTCTGAGTTGGGAGGACAAAAAAAAAATCTGGTAGTAGATAGATGATAGATAGATAGAAGATAGAAGAGATAATAAGATAGATGGATAGGTAAAATAGATATAGATGAGATACCGTAGACCAAGGGTCTTCAAACTTGGCAAGTTTAAGGCTTGTGGGCTTCAACTCCCAGAATTCCTGAGCTAACATGACTGGAGGAAGAATTCTGGGAGTTGCAAGTCCACAAGTCTTAAAGCTGTCAAGTTTGAAGATCCCTGACGTAGATAGACAAGAGTAGATAGACATTCAATGATGGATAGAGGACAGATAGATATATAGATACCACAGACAGACAGATGATAGACAGAGGAGATAAAAAATGATGGATAGATGGATATAGATACTGTAGACAGACAGATGATAAAATATAAATGAGATACCATAGACAGATGACAGAGATGAGATATAGACAATGATGGATAGAGGACAGATGGATAGACATAGATACCATACAGATGATAGAGAAGATATAAACAATGATGGATAGATGGATATACAGATACCCTAGACAGATAATAAATATAGATGAGATACTATAGACAGACAGATAGAGAAAATAGACAGATAATATAGTTAATGATGGACAGAGGATTGATGGATGGATAGATGATACCGTAGATAGACAGATGATAGATGGCTGGCTGGCTGGAGGTGATAAGAGACGCAGGCAAGCGACAACGGTACTAAAAAAAATGACATGACCGTTTTCATACTCACGACTGTTGCAGCATTCCCATGATCATGTGATCAAAATTCAGAGGCCTGGCAACTGATTCCTATTTATGACGGTTACAGGGTCCCTGGAGTCACATGATCTCCTTTTGCGACCTTCTGATAAGCGGGGAAGCCAGATTCACTTAAAAAAAATTGACTTACTAACTTAAAATCACTGCAGTGATTCACTGAACACTGCAGTGATTCACTGCAAGCACAAAAAGTTATAAAATGGGGCAAAGCTCCACCTAACCACGGTCTCCCTTAACAAATGTCCCTCTTAGCAAACAGAAATGTTGGGCCCCATACGTTGAGGATTACCTGTATGTTTATTTAAGTATGTTGATTTTCTGGGCCTGCAACTCGCTGCTAAGAAAATCAATCAAGTAACAATACAACCATCCTTATCTTAAGTACATACAAGTATCCAAGACCTTATCAAAGAAAAAAATAAAATGATTATAATTGGGCACAAATCTAGCAATTAAATGTATTTCAAAGCAGAACATTAAAATATGGCTTTCCAAACAGGTTTAAAAGCACATTCTCTTGCTTTCGTTTAGAGCTTTTCTGAACTGTTGTTCAGATAATTGTTTAAGCTTAATATAAATTCCAGATATTCAGTGCTTTAAAAAAACAATAAAAAGAATAGCCCTCTGATGTTGTTATTGCCATCTCAAAAGACCAGTTAAAAGTCCTTTTTTCCAATAACCACCCCTGGCCATTCAACCTGAGAATTTCAATACCTCGTGCCTTAATATTAACACATTTATTTGTTCTTCAACTTGGCGTTTCAGAGCATCCGTACAAAATTATTCAATTGCAGTCATGGAAAAAAAAACCTCACTCATTGAGTTTATTTTTTTTTCTTTAAATGCTTAAACCTCTGCCTAGTGTTCTCTTTCTCTCTCTTTTTTAGGGAAAGCTAGCAGTGTAAAAACAGTTTGGCTAGAACAATGTTTTATTAGAATTATTTAACAAAAAATATTTAAGACATCTATACAATTTAACATCCAGTTTGACAAAGGAAAAACAAAAACCACAAGACTAAAATACAAAAATTTTTTTTTTAAAAGTGCATTATTCAATCCAGTATTTTCACTTTGTCGTTTGTAACCAGGTATGAAAATAAAATCAAATAAAATCTGAATTAATGTAGCAGTTTGCACGCCTGCCCCTACAGTATTTCATACATCTGGGGGTTTGAAAGGAGACGTCTTAGCTTGACAGCCAGTTGAAATAAACCCAGTAGTGGGATTCAGCCAGTTCACACCAGTTTGGGAGAACTGGTTGTTAACTTTCTGAGCAGTTTGGTGAACTAATTGTTGGAAGAAATCATTAGGGCAGAGAACCGGTTGTTAAAATTATTTGAATCCCGCCACTGAATAAAGCCCATTGAATTTCAATGGGATTTTACACCGAATTCAGGTGTGCGTTGAGATTGCGGCCTGTTTGAAGAAAGAGACAAACTTGGCAATAATTTTTTTGCAACAATAAATTACTCATTGTTTGGCATTCGTGCATATTTATCTCCTCCTCCTAAAGCAAAGGTTTATTTATAGAAGTTACGCATCATACAGTTTTGGTAGATACACAATTCCCCCCCCACCCCCGCCCCGAGTTGTGAGCTAAGTTATCCTGATTTAAAACTTCCAAACAGGACAATTTTTCACGAGAACACTTAAGGCCATGTTTTATTTGCTGATCAATGGACAAAAAAAAAAAAAAGCAGTGAGTTTTCTTCCCACCCATTTCCCCCAGTTATTTCCTTGAAAGTCTGTGCTCGTAAAAATCACGAAAAGTTGGAAAGACGGAATTATTGAAACTTTTAAATATATTTTACACAATCTCAGTTTTGTACAAAAATACAAGTTAATTATAAACATAAAGCAATGATACTATTCGGTAAATCTTCTTTTGTGATAGGCTACTGTATATATATATATATATATTTATTTATCTATATATATATTCTCATTTATTTATAAAACATCTCATCACTCTTCTCACTGAGATCCGGATCAGATTGAATCACGACTAGCAAAGGACTCTAGAATTACACGGATCAGGTTTTCTGCTGTAAATATTTCAATTTTAGACTGGCCAAAAATTAAGAAGAAAAAAATAATAGGGCACTGATGTCCATAAACCAACAAATAATTTGGCTAGGATGTGGCAAACACAAACACACAGATCTCTACAAGAAACCAATATCAGTACATAATTGTTGCACATATATCAACATGGAATGAAACTTTAGTGAGACGCCACAGAAAATTCACTTGTCTTCAACTTGGCATTTTGTCTGATTTCATCGAAGGAGTACATCTTCGTTACTACACCGTTTTTAAACACCGTGTGAAGGAGATCCTGCAAAAGAACACCATTTGTTATGGCTTCAGTAAAAAAAAATACAACATCAACCAAAACATTTAAGTGATTGTTTAGCCATTAGAGCTTTTTGTAGTGGTGCCGAAACGTGTGTGTGCTGGCACTCACAATGCAATGCGCCGTCCCCCTGTGCATGCATGTGCAACAACCCTGTCCCCTTACCTGCACTGTGCATGCACGCACCTCCCGGCTGATTTTCGGCCCGTTTGAGGCAGTTTTCACCTTCCTAGAAGCCCGAGGGAAGCTTCCACTGCCTTAGGAGGCCAAAAAACAGGCCTTCCGGAAATACCTCACCCTCCTGAGGGCCTCTGGAGCCTGGGGGAGGCCGTTTTTGCCCTTCTGGAGGCTCGAGGGAAGCCTCTGCAGCCTTGGGAGGCTGAAAACGGGCCCGTTTTGGCACGTCCGGTATTTCCAGAAGGCCCGTTTTTCGGCCTCCTGAGGCTGCAGAGGCTTCCTTCGAGCCTCCAGGAAGGCGAAAATGGCCTCAAACGGGCCGAAAATCAGCTGGGAGGCATGTGCATGTGCAGTGCAGGTAAGTTTGTCTGGGGGTCGCATGCCTGCACAAATGGCTTAGCACCTGTGGCACACGTGCCGTAGGTTCGCCATCACGGCATTAGAGGATCTCATGTGTATTATGATTTTAGTTCGGCCTGCTTTACAGATAGTCCTTGACCAGGGCTGTCAAACTCAATTTCATTGAGGGGCACATCAGGGTTGTGTTTGACCTCAGGGGAGGGGCCAGGGTGTGTGTGGCCAACTGGACGTCACTTGTGTTGGGGGCACCTCTGCTAGTGAAAACAGGCTCCGGAGCTCCGTTTTCGGCTGGAATGGCCTCCTGGAAATGGCCACCAGTGGCCCACCCGAGCTCTGTTTTTCTCAGCAGAGGCACTGCAGGCCGGTCCTCCGCTGTTTCCAGGGCAGCTCCATGACCAGATCTAAGCATCCCATGGGCTGGATCCGGCCCATGGGCCTTGAGTTTGACACCTCTGTTCTTGACTCACAAGCTTTTGTTTAGTGACCGTTAGAAGTTACAACAGTGCTGAAAAAACTGACCTACGACCGTTTTTCATGCTTACAACCGCTGAACCATCTCCATGTCACATGATCAAAATTCAGACATGTGGCAACAGACTTATTTTGAGTCAGTTCTCACAAGTCAGCTCTGAGTCATGAATTCTGAGTCGCAGGTCGTTTTCAGTCAGTTGTCATGACTGAGTATGACTCATATTTATGATGGTTGAAGCAAAACTCACTTAGCAACTGTCTTGCTTAGCAACAGAAAGTTGGGGCTCAATTGCAGTCATAATTCGAGGACTACCTGTTAAGTCAATAACAGAATGAATGCCAGTTTCTATTAGTGTACAAACCAGGTATCTTCCTGCATACAAAAGAAAGTTAGCTAAGTATTAAGAGGCAGAAACTACTGAAAATTGGGAATTGCTTTTCTATTCCCTAGGTGCAAAGTTATGTTTCCGTTGATGTGTATTTTAGAACAATAATATTAATAATAATAATTAATTATATAATTGTGCTGCGCATCTCATCTAGTTTGTGTTTTTGCTCTAAAGCCCCATCACAAGTTATTGACCTCTATTCCCTTGAGACCAGTGGTGGGATTAATTTTTTTTTTACTACTGGTTCTGTGGGCATGGCTTGGTAGGCATGGTGTGGCTTGGTGGGTGTGACTTGGCAGGATACTGCAAAATCCCCATCCCCACCCCACTAACCTGCTTTCCAGCTCCGTTCTCCTGTGCAGCGCAACCAAAGAAGACCCAGCCAATCAGCTGGGACTTGGCAGGCGGAGAAGAGATGGGGGCGGGGCCAGTCAGAGGTGGGATTTGCCGGTTCTCCGAAATACTCAAAATTTCCGCTACCGGTTCTCCAGAACTGGTCAGAACTGACTGAATACCACCTCTGCTTGAGACCAGATGGAAAAGGGAAGCATTTAAATTACCTGCCCATATTCTTCTAGATCCCCTTTGCCTTCTTCTAGTGTAACAAAGTCTCCATTCGGCGTTCTGTGTAAGGACAACCTTCCTTTCTTTGAACGTTTGTTTGGATCGGCGACGGGATCTTTGAAGACGTTCACCTAGAAGTCAAAGTTAAAAGGAATTCAACACCCACGCTGATTTCGGTGAGTTCCCGTATTAATTTCTCTCTCTTAAGTAAAGATTACATTTAGAGAACATACCCCCAGGCCATTAGTAACCACGTAGCTGCATTTGAACGAGCAGTTCAAGAGATCTCTGGTTAATTTCTGCAGAAGGGCTCCACCTGAGCCAAAGGCAATGTTTTCAATGCTCCATTTCTGCTTTTTCATGCCCTCCACGATCTGGAAATGACAGAAAACGCTTTTAAGCATTGCACAAGCAAGGTACGGATTTTAAATTAAGCCTAATGCCTCACAATGTACGTGCGCAGACTCTGTACTTTTTCAAAAAGTTAATTAACAGGTTACGCCATTTTTGTGGATAAATGTTAACTTAACAAAAACGAAGACTGTTTTTTTGTTTCTTGCAAGGTACATTTATGCACAAACATTACATAAAGCTGTTCGTGTTTTTTTTTTAATAAGAAAAAGATAGCATCCTGTCTGATTCCTCTTGAGAAATATTCTGGAATAGCTAGGGGAATCCACTGTTAACAATCTTCCAAGGTCATGTTTGTGCAAGATGAAACTTTCCATTCAACCATCTTCTTATACATATGCCGTTTCTCCAAAAATACGACCTACCCCAAAAGTAAGTCCTAGCTTGATTGTTTTTACATGTGCACCCAATATAGGCCCTACCTCCCCAAATAAGCCCTAGTTAAGATCCCACCCACTCCAGAGTGCACGGGTAAAAACTAAGCTAGGGTGTGTGTAAGTGTAAGGCAGGGTCTTATTTTGGGGGAAACATGGTAATCCAAACTGCCAGGAACGATTTTGAAAATGCAACCCCCTCCCCAGCTAAAAAGACAACCACAATGGCATCTATCTGTTCAAGGTTAAATAACATTTTGTACATGTCAAGTTACACCCTGAATAAGGTCACTGAGAAGCATCACGGAGCCTAAGATGGTGACCTTTGGCAGAGGATTGTGTGGGGCAAAGTCTTGTCTTCAAGAGAATTCAACCGTGCCTGCAAGTTTTTTTGGGGTGGTGCTTTCCTACTTCCTGAAATTTACAGCAAAGAGGATGTGGTGGCGAAATTTTGTAAGATTTCATGCTACGTGCGGGATCTCGTGAGCTTCTGTACCAACTGAAGGAACATCTCCTGAATTGCTCCCCCCCCCCAAAAAAAACACCACCACCCCCAAAAAAATCCCCACCAAAAAACCCGGCACTTGCACTGATTGAAAATTGAAGGAGAAATTGCCAGTAAAAAAAAAAAAAAAGGGGGGGGGGGGAGAGCAATTTTAAGCTTTTAGTTTCAGCCGTTCGGTGCAAATACAGCTTTTGAAGCACTGCACTATTAAGAGATAATGTATTTTCCTATTGAAACTTCAGAGAACAAAAAGAAATATTTCTCAAAACTTTCATAACATGCATTTTGTATAGGCAGCTATGAGAACAGAACCGCAAATTAAGGTATGGTTGTTTTTAATTATACCCGTGTTAAAAGGTAACTGAAGTACTTATCTAAAAATTAACAGAATGATAGAGTTGGAAGGGACCTTGGAGGTCTTCTAGTCCAACCCCCTGGCTCAAGGCAGGAGACCCTATATTGTACTGGACAAGGGGCTGTCCAGTCTCTTCTTAAAAAGCCTCCAGTGATAGAGCAGCCACAACCACAAAATTAATCTGAAAAGTCACACCTCTTGCAATGTGTTGATGTCCACACCGTCTCCTTGAATAATTCTGAGGTAAGGTGGCAATACTTTATAACCTTTTGAATTTTCTGTAATAGGGAACTTCTTTCCTAAAATTTCCAAAACCTAGGGAAAAAAGAGACAGTGACAGAGAGAGGGGAGGGACAGAGACAGAGAGAGGGAGACAACGAGAGAGAGGGGAGGGACAGAGACAGAGAGACAACGAGAGAGAGGGGGAGGGAGAGAGACAGAGGGAGGGGAGAGAGAGAAGAGAGACAGAGGGAGGGAGGGAGACAGTGAGAGGGGGAGGGAGAGGGAGGGAGAGGGAAAGACAGAGGGAGGGAGACGGGGAGAGAGACAGAGAGGGAGGGAGAGACAGAGGGAGAGGAAAGGGAGTGAGGGAGGGGGAGAGAGAGAGGGGGGGGGGGGGGGGGGAGAGAGACAGAGACAGAGAGAACCCGGCATAAATATTAGCAGATCAACCAATTATTCCATTAAATAAATAAACAAGGAGGACAACAAATTTAAAACAGAAGTTATATAACAAAAAGATCTAAAGGAAGAAAAATTCAAATCCGATCGCTGTATTAAAATTATTCTGGAAGGAACTTTTGGATTAAAACTTGCTGAAGCAAGATTTGCATGTAGAATATTGCTTCACTTTATGGCATATCTTTCCAGACTAGCCAGGTGGCTAGAAAAGATGATAGGAAATATCATGTAGATTTTAAACCTGAACTGTTTTTATTAGATATGTCAGAAAAATTAGATAAGAACCGTTGGCTGTGGAGGAAATTGGGGAAGGGCAAAGTCAGGCTGGACAGAACAGGGGGGAGGTAGAACAAGGGAGATGGGGTTCAGGTGAAGACCAAGGCCTAAGGTGCGCAGGGAAGAACACAGAAGAGAATAACGTGGGTGGAAGGAAAGGACCCCAATTCCCTTCACAAGGCACACCTGGGGAGGGAGTTTAAAGGAGAGGCAGTTGGGAGGGGCATTTGCCAGGAACAAATGCTGAATTCATCTAGTGTTGAGAGTTGTGGCCTGTATTCCTGGCATTCCTCCTGACTGTTTGAATTATTGCCAAGCTTCTGTGTGCTTATCTTGCCTTGCTGGAATTATTGATCACTTCTTGGGCTCATTATCTTGCCCTGCTGGAGTGACTGATTGCAGTCTGCTTACAGCATTTGGATTGGAGTATCTGCAGCCAGAGGCTGCTGCAGGTTCATGGGAGAGTTTTTCTCTAGACCAGAGAGTAAACGGGACGTTGGGGGCAAAGTTGGTGCCAATAAAGGAACTCATATTTATTCTCTGGCTGTTGCCTTCATGCCACACCCTGAGTCACCATATACATGTTGTAACAATAGCGAGGATTATATTTGCACAATATTGGAAAAATGAAGAAACATGTGAGACAAAGAGATAATGAAGAAGACGCTAGACTGTGCACAAATGGATAGATTGACCCTGAAAATTCAGCAGAAAGAAGACACAGAATACTGTCAAACATGGAACCTATTTTACTAGTGGTTGGAAAAAAAGAGGTGGCAATTAAGAAAATAATCAAAATTGTTAAGCAAATTAAATACTCAGACAACACAATGTTTATTAAGCACTAAGGAATGTAATCAATTAAAAAAAATCAATAAAATTTCGGGGAGGGGGGAAGAAGTCTGTCTGAAGGAGCTACGCGGCCTGCGCTGAATTAGTGATTTAGCGATAATTGATTTTACTCTGCAATTTTGAAATCTTTTAACTCCGAGCCCTTTACCTTCAGCACGGTGTCCAGAGGATTTCCGGAATCTGGCCGGATAATCAGAGGCGCTTCGGCACTTCTTGACTCAATCAAATGCCTTAAATCCTCACCCCATATTTTTTCGCAAGCATTGTAAATGTCATAACTGTCGCTGACCACAGATACAGGCACTGAAGAGAAATGGGTCACGATATGTTCGAAAGCATCTTTTTCGTGATCTTTTCCCCAAGCTGTTATAGTACTGGAAGAAGGAGGAGATGATGTTGATTAAATTCGGAGACAATTTACGCCTACATCCTTTTTATATACTTCTGCTTGTGATCAAAAGTCCTTTAGATCAGGGGTCACCAACCTTTCAGACTTCAGGGACCACTAAATCCATAATTTTAAATCCCGCGGGCCACTAATACAATCTGCCTAATGACTGACTGGGCGGGCGTGGCTAGGTGGTCATGTGACTGGGTGGACGTGGCCAACTTCATGTCACCTGCGTTGAGGGCTGGCCTCTACTCGCCCTTCCCCTCCCAGCCACTCCTTGCCTGTCCACCTGGATTCCCTAGGGCCCCAACCAGTGGTGGTATTCAGCCGGTTCGCACAGGATCGGGCGAACCGGTAGCAAGGATTTGCCATGGGTCGTCGAACCAGTAGTAAATTCTGGCTGGCCACGCCCCTGACCTGGTTTACCCTCCCGCCCGATGCTCGCTCACCCCGCCCACCTGATGTTTGCCTAAGGTATTTCTTTTTTTTCACCACCCAACAATCGGCTGTACTTACGATCAGCTGTGCCAGGATTCCCCTTGCTGAGGGCCCAGGAAGGCAAAAAATGGCTCAGCCCCCTCCTCCATTTTTTTTTGCCTTCCTGAGGCCCAGAGGAGCTTTATGGGAGCAAAAATGTCCCCCCAGAGGCTCTTCTGAGGCCAGGAAGCTCCCAAAACGGAGCGTGGAGGGGTGCTGTGTGCCCCTCCATGCTATTTTTTTTCTTCTGAGCCTCAGAGGAGCCCTTATGGGGGCAAAAACGCCCCCCTAGAGGCTTCTCTGAGGCCCAGAAGGCCCAAACAAACGGATGGGGGGAGGCTGCAAAATAAAAAGCCACGCCAACCCAGTCACATGGCCACACCCCCAAGCCACGCCCACAAAACCGGTAGTAAAAAAAAAAATTGAATCCCACCACTGGGCCCAACTGTTGTTGGAGCTAAGCAGCCCCCAGGAGAAAGAGTTGGCAGAAAAACCTAACTCAGTTCAAATTGGATCTGACTGAGAAGCAGGCTCAGCAGAAGCACCTCACTGAGGACTAGGAGCATAGGCTTTCCAAGCAGAGGGAAGACCTGCGGGAGTGCAAGGCCAGGTCCCGGCACCTGGAGGCTCAGCAGGCTGAGATGGTCAGCCAGTTCCAGGCCATGATGCTGTCCCGCTGGAACGAGGCCCTCCAGCGGTGCTTCTCTCCAGCCTTTGTCCAAAGCCCCACACCAGGAGGCTGAAGCAGACCCCAAGTAGGGATTCCTGCCCCCCTCCGAACCCCACAAAAAGACCCCAAAGGGGGAGACTCTCTGCAGCAACACAGACATTCATTGCACGTATCCGGCCCAGGTGCCGTAGTTTGAGGATCCCTGATTTAGCGCAATATAAAAAATGCAAATAATTTTTCTGCAGACCACCAAAATTTTCTCACAGACCACCAGTTAGTGACCGCTGCTTTAGGTAGCAAACAGTGAGTTTTTTTCCCCTCTTGGAGCAACTTTAGATAAATGTTTTCATTTCTGTGAGAGTGTTAAAAATCTTCACTGCCTAATGGAAGTTTTCCATCACTCCTCTTTCAAACAATTGGCCCCTCTGTAGATGGATTAATTATACTTAAATCATCAATTTCTATAGAGTAGTATTGATTTCCCAAAAGAACTTAATGACAAAGAGTCTCAAAAGAACCTAATTAGAAAAATAGAAACCTTGGACTAATACTCTACCCGTAACAATTTTTATTAAAAAATATAATCCAAAAACATGGCCCTGCTGCATTTGAAATGAAAACAATATTATTTTTATTACAAATTATGTCTAAGTGACTTGATCGATTTCCCAAATGTAAGGTGTCGGTATGAATTAATTCAAGGAGTTGAATCTTTCATTAGTTTTTAATGAATTTATAACACATCTAACAAAAGCTGCAAAGAAACTGAATGCTGCTAAAAGTTATTAGTTGGTATCAGAATTGCTGATGAACTGCAACTATGTGGCATGTGTGGTGTTTGTATGTGTGAGTTTTATGTGTGACTAGATAGAGAAACAGAGATAGTAGAAAGAGAGATATACAGATGATATATAGAGGCAGAGAGAGAGAGATACAAGAGAGAGAGAGAGAGAGAGAGAGAGAGAGAAAGAAGAGAGAAAGGAGAGAAAGAGAGCAAAAGGAGAGAGAGAGAGGGAGGGAGGATAGCCCTTGTCTATGGAGATTCACAGTTATCCTGGTCATGGTTGTCACCTGATAAGGATAACCAGAAGAATAGGTTGCTATATCCAATATCAATAAAACCAACCAGATACCTGTGTTCAGCAGCTGGAATGGAATAACCTGGGACAGGGTCTTTTGTGCCGTAATATTTCTTAATTAAAGCAATTCCTGCTACGGTATCCGTGCCTTTGAAGTTCACCAAATGTGCCGAAGCTCCAATTCCTGCAGTCTGGGAAAAACAAGATTTCTCTTTTAATGAACATTACAGTCATATTCAGCAGCCCCTTTCTCTGGTTTTACAGTATGCCATCTAAAAGGCAATTCAGACAGTCTTCAACTTATGAAACTTCTACATGCGTAGAAGGTAAAAAATATTGGACAAAAGTACACACGTGATTGGAAAAAATGATAAAGCAACATATAGATCTAAAACCTGAAATATTTCTTCTAGGGATGGTACCTGAAAGTTACAGTAAAGAAAAAAGTGTATTTAATTATCCATATATTAACTGCAGCTAGAATCGTATTTGCTCAGAATGGGAAAAGTGAAAAAAATCCCAATAGAGGAAAACATGATTAAGAAAATATTAGAAGGTGCAGAGATGAATAGATTAACATTGGCAATTAAAGAAAAAAAAGAAACTGAATACTGTATGGTGGCTAACAGTTCCTGTTCCAAAAATTGTGTGCGTGCTGGGGTGCCAGCACCCAGAAGCCAATGCGCCCCCCCCCCCCCCCGCATGTGCGTGCAATCTCCCCCCGCCCCCCCCTCCCCGCTGCCCCCTTACCTGCATTGCACCCCACAGCTAATTTTTGGCTGGTTTGAGGCCTTTTTCGGCCTCCCAGAGGCTTGAAAAAGCCTCTGCGGGCATTGCGGACCGAATAATAGGACCGTTTCGTCACTTCCGATATTACAGGAAGTGATGAAACGGGCCTATTATTTGCAGAGGCTTTTTTCAAGCCTCTGAGAGGCCGAAAAAGGCCTCAAACCGTCAGATAATCCAACTTTGCCCCCAATGTTCTAGCTGAGAAAAACTCTCCCAGGAGCAGCCTTTGTCTGCAGAGAATCAAGTCCAAAACATGGTCAACAAAAACTGTAACTGTAAGTCCAATCAAGGCAACACGAGGTAATTAGTTTGGCAGGGCAGGAGAAGGAATTCCAGATGTGAAGGCACGGCAAAATTCAGCACCGTTGGAAAAACGCCAGGATCATCACAAGACTCCATGGTTTGGGTTGGGTTGCAAAATCTCTGAGGATGCTCCATGCAAAGTGGCATGCCAATGTTTTCAAGAGAAGTTAAGCAATCGAGAACGTTACCTCTTGTGAAGACACCCCTCGGTAACCGAAATCATGAAGTTTGTATTCCAGTCCTTCTAAACTGCCTGAGGTCTCCAGCAAGTATTTTGCCAGTATCTTCTTCTGTTCCCTGGAGTTTGTAGCGACGGTGATGGGATACCATGACTGAACAAGAATGGTCTAGCAAAAGAATAAGGCACACCCATCAATAAGATAAGATAACCTTGTTTTGTCACTTTTTTTCTGTGAGCACACTGGCACACATTACAAAATGAAATTCTGATGCCTGCTGTCAAAAGAATATACTCACACACACACACACACAGGTCTCAACTTATGACCACAATTGGTTATTGAAAACTGGACATTCAGATGTCTCAAATGATATAACTCCTGGGATGGTGAACCTATGACACACGTGCCCGAGGTGGCATGTAGAGCCCTCTTTGTGGGCACGCGAGCCGTTGGCCCAGCTCAGCCATGCAGGCGTGCGCGTGTCTCCTACCAACCAGGTGGTCTTCGGGGCTCTGCCACACATGCATGGGGCACAGGTCATGCATGTTGGGGTTGTGGGTGTATGCACGGGAGGTGTAAGGGGGAGTCATATGTGTATGCGTGGGGGCGCATGCACATGGGGGCGCATGCATGTTGTATTTTGGGGGTGCACGCGTGTGCATACACACGCTTTGGGCACTTGGTGCCAAAAAGGTTAGCCATCATTGGTATAAGCTCTCTTGCTCAAGCAGGGGGTTGGATTAGATCAAGGCTCTTCAAACTTGCCCAGTTTAAGACTTGTGGACTTCAACTCCCCGAATTCCTGAGCTAACATGACTGGAGGAGGAATTCTGGGAGTTGAAGTCCACAAGTCGTAAAGCAGTCAAGTTTGAAGACCCCTAGAATAGATAGAGATGTGGAATAGATGGGGGGGGGGGGGGAGAGAGAATAGATAGATAGAATAGATAGATAGATAGAATAGATAGATTGAATAGAGTTAGGATAGAGAGAGAATATAGATCAAGGGCCTTCAAACTTGGCAAGTTTAAGACTGGTGGACTTCAACTCCCAGAATTCCTGAGCTAACATGACTGGAGGAGGAATTCTGGGAGTTGAAGTCTAAAAGTCTTAAAGCTGTCAAGTTTGAAGGCCCCTGGATTAGATGATCTCCAAGGTCCCTTTTGTTCAACTTTATTTCATTGGTCCAGAGAGTGGAGGAATTCATCCCATCTCTGCCTAATTATTATTTTTAACACCTCCATCTTAGTTTCCATTAATTCATTTTAAAACTCCCCACTACCCACCTCAATCCAGTTTGTTAGCCAGTAACAGTTCGGATCTGTGTTTTCAACTGTGAAAAGAACATTTCCTCTTGGAATGACAAATCCCTCAGGAACAGCCTTTATTTCAATAGGAAGACGGCCATCGTACTTCTATCATGTAAAAGAGAAACAGAAGGATGATTTTGAAAACACTCAAATACCACCCACCATCTATTTCGCTGGATAAAATTAGGGTTTAATATAAAGCCCAGTTGCCTCTTGGATAAAAAAGCATTTTGGGACAACCATGACCTGGATGATGGAGAATCTTCATTAGAAGTCGTATTTCATATGAACAATTGGCCAGCATATTCAACTCAACCTATTCCACAATTTTTCTACACAGAATATTCTTCGTATTTGACTTTTAAATTCACATTTGCAATGTGCAAAGCACGCTGCTTTATCCACAAACTTTCTATAATAATAATAATAATAATAATAATAATAATAATAATAATAATAATAATAATAATAAT